ATTTCCCATCAAATCGCGATATCCCAGAGCCTCTCATTTCCCATCAAATCGCGATACCCCAGAGCCTCCCATGATTTCCCATCAAATCGCGATATCCCAGAGCCTCCCATGATTTCCCATCAAATCGCGATACCCCAGAGCCTCTCATTTCCCATCAAATCGCGATATCCCAGAGCCTCCCATGATTTCCCATCAAATCGCGATACCCCAGAGCCTCCCATGATTTCCCATCAAATCGCGATATCCCAGAGCCTCCCATGATTTCCCATCAAATCGCGATATCCCAGAGCCTCCCATGACTTCCCATCAAATCGCGATATCCCAGAGCCTCCCATGATTTCCCATCAAATCGCGATATCCCAGAGCCTCCCATGATTTCCCATCAAATCGCGATATCCCAGAGCCTCCCATGATTTCCCATCAAATCGCGATACCCCAGAGCCTCCCATGATTTCCCATCAAATCGCGATATCCCAGAGCCTCCCATGATTTCCCATCAAATCGCGATACCCCAGAGCCTCCCATGATTTCCCATCAAATCGCGATATCCCAGAGCCTCCCATGATTTCCCATCAAATCGCGATATCCCAGAGCCTCTCATTTCCCATCAAATCGCGATATCCCAGAGCCTCCCATGATTTCCCATCAAATCGCGATATCCCAGAGCCTCCCATAATTTCCCATCAAATCGCGATATCCCAGAGCCTCCCATGATTTCCCATCAAATCGCGATATCCCAGAGCCTCCCATGATTTCCCATCAAATCGCGATACCCCAGAGCCTCCCATGACTTCCCATCAGATCGCGATATCCCAGAGCCTCCCATGATTTCCCATCAAATCGCGATACCCCAGAGCCTCCCATGACTTCCCATCAAATCGCGATATCCCAGAGCCTCCCATGATTTCCCATCAAATCGCGATACCCCAGAGCCTCCCATGATTTCCCATCAAATCGCGATATCCCAGAGCCTCCCATGATTTCCCATCAAATCGCGATACCCCAGAGCCTCCCATGATTTCCCATCAAATCGCGATACCCCAGAGCCTCCCATGATTTCCCATCAAATCGCGATATCCCAGAGCCTCCCATGATTTCCCATCAAATCGCGATATCCCAGAGCCTCCCATGATTTCCCATCAAATCGCGATATCCCAGAGCCTCCCATGATTTCCCATCAAATCGCGATATCCCAGAGCCTCCCATGATTTCCCATCAAATCGCGATATCCCAGAGCCTCCCCGGGTCGCCGGCGCAGGGCCCGGAACGGGCCCAAGGGGGAGCTGCGGCCGCCCCGGCCCCGCGCAGCTCCCCGCTGCCACCAGCAGGCGGCGCCGCTGCGCTTTGCTGCCCGCGGCCGGGCTGAAGCCGCCGGGAGCCCCGGGAGCGGCTCCCCCGGTGCCGGTGGGGCAGGGAGCCCCACGCCGTGAGCACTGGACGGGGAGGGAACCCCCAGGGAACGGCATCGAACACACCCGTTATTACGTGTTAACACACGGAACCCCTGTAAGGAACGCTACGTAACGGTGCTGCGCTGGGCTACGACGGGAACAGAAATCCCATCGACCGATCCCCACGGAACGCCTGCAGGAACACGAGGTTTTGCTCTCCCTGGGTCCGGCCGCATCACGGCCGCCGGGATAACGGCATCTCCCAGCGCCATGCGGGCACGGCCCGGCCCCTGCCGCTGCTCCTTGCGCTGCTCCGTGCGCGCTTCCCTGCGCGAAGTGAAAGTGCCTTGGGCATGAGTCACGCACACGGGGGGGGACACGGCAGCCTATGGGGCCCGCTGAGCCCGTGACCCATGTCCCATGGGGACACTGATGGGGACAGGCCACGCCTCGCACTGCGCCGCTCGGGGACACCCCCACGGCCATGGGGCAGCCGCAGCGGGATCTGGGGCTGGGCCAAGTGGGGCAGGGCTGGAACCTTGTGTCCTGCCAGAACATTCCTGCCTGAGTCACCGCTGGATCCTGCCCGGGCAGGAGCGTGTCCCCGCCCCACGGCAGCCCCACTGAACCCCACAGCCCCACAGCAGCCCCATTGAACCCCACAGCCCCATAGCAGCCCCATTGAACCCCACAGCCCCACGGCAGCCCCACTGAACCCCACAGCCCCACGGCAGCCCCATTGAACCCCACAGCCCCACGGCAGCCACACTGAACCCCACAGCCCCATGGCAGCCCCATTAAACCCCACAGCCCCACAGCAGCCCCATTGCACCCGACAGCCCCAAGGCAGCCCCACTGAACCCCACAGCCCCACGGCAGCCCCACTGCACCCCGTAGCCCCTCGGCAGCCCCACTGACCCCCCCCAACATGTGTGTAGCCAGCCCCCCTCATCCCATCATAGAAAAGACCTTTCAGCACCCGGAACCCAACCACAAGCCCCCCCCCGGCACCCTGCACCCCCCCCATGTGCTCCTCCCCACGCCCCCCAACCCCCTGTGCCCACGCTCCCACGCCCAGGGCTGTCCCCTTGCACCGAGCACCCCATAACCCTCACCAGGGCATTGGGGGTGCCCAGGCAAGGGGGGGGGGGTTCGATACCCCCCGGTGTCACCCCACGGCTTTGGGGGGGGCAGGACCGGACGCCCGGATTCCTGGAAGGGGCGCACGTGACTTCCCCACTCGCTGCTATTCAGAGCCCTTGTTGCTGGGCAGAGCTGAGCCGGGGGGGGCAGAACCCCAGGGTGCACCCCAACCCCCCCCAGGCTCCCCAAAGCGGGGGGGGGGGGACACAGGGTCCCATCCCTGCTCCCCCAAAGCCTCCCCATTGCAAAGAGCTGCCGGGGCCCCTCAGTCAGCACCAGGGGCTCCCCATGGAGAGAGCCCTGCTCTGGGAAGGGGGCAGTAACTGCCCCATAGATCTGGGGGGGAGCAGGGGGGGCAGCACCCATAGATCTGGCGGGGGAAGCAGGGGGGCAGCACCCACAGATCTGGGGGAGAGCAGGGTGGCAGCACCCATAGATCTGGGGGGGAGCATGGGGGGCAGCACCCATAGATCTGGGGGGGAGCATGGGGGGCAGCACCCATAGATCTGGGGGGGGAGCAGGGGGGGCAGCAGCCATAGATCTGGGGGGGAGCATGGGGGGCAGCACCCATAGATCTGGGGGGGAAGCAGGGGGGCAGCACCCATAGATCTAGGGGAGAGCAGGGTGGCAGCACCCCAGAAAGGGGCAAAAGCAGCCCTGATACAAGCAATTAAAGTCTATTATTAGCTATTAACACCCATTATTAACTATCAACACCCATGATTAGCTATTAACACCCATTATTAGCTATTAACACCCATGATTAGCTATTAACACCCATGATTAACACCCATTATTAGCCAGGATTGCCCCTTACCAAGCCCCCAGCCCAACCAGAGCCACAAACAGGCAGGAATTGGGGCGCCTGCGCCCTGCTTGGGGGATTTCCGACATTTGCATCCTGCTTTCCCCCAGCACAGGCAGCGGGGCCACATCCTGCCCCTGCCCCGCTCGGTGCCCCCCACCCTTCCCAAGGGACCCCAAAGCGGTGCTGAGCCCCCCCCACCCCTCCCTTCCCCCCCATTCCGAGAAGCCGGGGCCACTTCTGGGAAGCAGAAGAGGAAGCTCCCGGTTATCGGCACCGCCAGCCCCGGCCACAGCCCAGCCCCGGCGCTGGGGCGGCTCCAGAAGGGCCTGGAAAGAGCCAGCACCGAGAGGAGCTCCACGAACACGCGTGGGGCAGCGCTGTGGGGCAGCGCTGTGGGGCAGCGCTGTGGGGCAGCGCTGTGGGGCAGCGCTGTGGGGCAGCGCTGTGGGGCAGCGAGGCTGCAGCCCCGAGGGCAGCACCCACAGCGCACTCCTGGGTACCTCGAGAGGTGCTGCAGGGCTCAGCACCCCCGCCACGGACTTCCCCCACCCACAGACAATGGGGAAGGAAAGAGCATCTCAGCCCGGAGCAGCTGCGGGGAGCCCCAGCGGTGCCAGCACCCACCCAGAGCCGCTGCCCGCAGGGGGCCGTGGGGTGCCCCACGGGCAGGAAGAGCCCCACGGCGGCGCTGAGCACATCGCGTCTGAGGCAGGAAATCGAGCTGGGTGCGAGAGGACTGAGAACCAAGGGCATTTATTGACCAAACTAAGTGCTTGCTCAGCAAACAGGCAGGTCCGGCCTTAGCACCGCCTTCCAGCTCCCCACTGGGTCAAGCACCGGGGGCGAGGATGCTCGCTCCTAGAGGAGAGCACCCCCAGGAGCCACGCACCCAGGGCTGGGGGCAGAGGAGTGCTTCCAGCCCCCCAGGAAGCATCCCCAAGGGCAGCGTGGCCCCAGAGCCTTGCCCGAGCTGCTGACACCTTTGAGCCTGCTCCACAACATCTACATTCAAACATCAGCTTTAACTCATGGCTTTAGAGGATCCGGGGGAAGGGAGGAGCAGGGCAGCGGCCGACACCGACCCGAGCAGCTCCCCCCCCATCGTGAGGGCAGGACCAACCAAAGAGGGTGAAACCAAGGCAGGAGGAGGCTTCGCCGCACAAAGGCCGCTTCCCTCGAGGCAATGAAGCGCAGGCACCCAGCAGCCGTGTTCAGAGCCCTTGCTCAGGTCAAAGGGGACAGCCCCGACGCACCCGGGCCTGGCTCCAGGTCCTGCACAGCCTCCCCGGGGGGGTTTTTACACCCTCACAAACGCCCTCCCTATTTTTAACCTGCCCAAGCGCGGCGAGGCCGCGGGCGCAGCTGCAGCGGTTACAGCCCGGCCCCACCTCGCTCCTCCTCTGCCTGCAAGGGAAGGACCACGCAGGGCTCCGGCGCCCACCTCCTGCCACCGGCTCCCCCTCCTGCTGCTCCCCCCGCTGCCGGGGGCCGGTGCCTGCGCACCTCGGGCACGGCAAGGCCTCTGCTCCAGCAGGAAGCCGCGAGCCGAGGCAGGGCAGCGGCAGCAGCAGATGCTACTTCCAGGAAGCCCCAGCCCCGAGCCATCTGCTCCAGGCAGAGCCGCGGTGCCGAGCTCGGTCTGGCTGCTGGTGAAGCAGGATGGGTCCCTCTGGGATGCGAGTGAAGCGTCCGCTCGAGCTCTGTGTCAGCATCCTCTTGGCAAGCAGCGCGCCGCCAGCTCTTCCGCTTCCTGGCCCCCGAGCAGTGAATCCTCAGCGGTACCCACGACCTGACCCCATCGCTCAGGGGATGCTCTCCTTGGGTCACTCAAGTCCAGCTTCGGAAGTCCTCAGAGGAGGCGGTGCTGAGCTCACCAACCCCACACAGAGCCAGGCCACCCCGCGTCCGGTCCCTCCGCAGCAGCCCCGGGCTCACCGGATCATGTAGGCCAAGCTCGCTCCCAGTCCAGCCATGCCTGCGAACGCCATCAGCACGTTCCTGACGCTGCCTTCCAGGTCCTCCACGTGGAAGAACTCCACGAAGCCCTCCTATAGGGGGGAGAAGGGGAGGTCAGGTCCCTGCCAGCCCCCCCCCTCCTGCAGCAGGAAGGCACCGGGAGCCTTCACCCCGGCACAGAGGGGCTGGGTCCAGCCCCCGCAGCACATCCCAATGCGCTCCCCCCATCCGCATCCCGCCCCACAGAGGAGGCAGCCGTGGGGACTGGTCCGGAGCCAGCTCAGCACAGCCAGGACTGACTCAGCTCTGGGCACGCCGCCCTCCCCACGCTTAGGTCAAGGCTGAGTCAGGAGCCCCTGGGGCGCCAGCCCCGGGGCTGGGTGCTTGAGCGGGGTGCGGAGGTGCCAGCGAGCAGGTCCCAGGCAGGACTCACCCAACCTCCCTGGCTCAGCATCCACTCGCGACTGGAGGCGAGCAGCGCGTCCGTGATGATCCCTGCCAGGGAGCCGATGCTCTTCTCCTGCTGGATGCTCTTCAGGTGCCGGGCGACGAAGGCCCCGAAGGAGATGAGCGTCACCACGCGGCCCCAGTTGGTCAGCCCGTCGCTGAAGAGGCGCGCGGCCACGTCCCGCACCGCCTGCAGGTCCTCCTCCTTCTGGATTTCCAGCTTCCGAAGCATCCCTGCAAGAGGCGCTGCTTTAGAGGCACAGGGACCCCACTGCCAGCTCCGGGAGCGGCCATAGGGAGCAAGAAACCAGCCCCTGGCCCCTTCCTGGGTCCCCCAAGGGATTACAGCCCCGGCAGAGCAGTGAGCGTGCACCCAAGGACATGTCACCAGTTACTGCTGCGGGACTAGGAACTGGAAGCACACAGACCCGCAATGCCCCTAACCCTAACCCTGAAGCCAGGTCCTTTCCTGCACCCCCTTGAGCCCCACAGAAGGCTCCCACCAGCACCAGCCCTGCTCCAAGCATTCCCCATTCCTTGGATCTGGCTGCGGTTACGGAACCACGGCCTCTGCACCAGCACCGCCCGGGGCAAGAGGGCGAAACCGAAACCCTTCCGCGTTCAAAACAGGGCTGGGAGCGTTCCTGGAACAAGGAGGGGTTTCTCCCACCTGGAGCTGGGGGCTGAAAGCAGCCCCGGCACCACCCCCCCCCCCCTGCTGGGAGCTCAGCTCCAAACCAGCTCCTTTCCGAGCCACAACGGCTCCGTTCCCACTTCCAGGCTGGCCCCAGGGCGCTGCAGAGGGGATGGGACTCGAGCCCTGGCTGGGCCAATGGTCACTAAAGGGACTGGGCTACTGCAGGGCTCATCACAAGCGAGTGGTTATAGGAAAAGAGCCACAACCGGAGCACATCCCCCGGGGCTCAGCCCCAGAACCAACTGGGGTGGGAAGAGCTTTAACATCATCGAAGCCAACCTTTAACATCACCGAACCCAACCTTTAACATCACCGAACCCAACCTTTAACATCACCGAACCCAACCTTTAACATCACCGAACCCAACCTTTAACATCACCAAGCCAAATCTTTAATATCATCAAACTCAACCTTTAACATCGCCAAACCCAACCTTTGACATCACCAAACCCAACCTTTGACATCACCAAAGCCAACCTCTGACATCACCAAAGCCAACCTCTGACATCACCAAACCCAACCTCTGACATCACCAAACCCAACCTCTGACATCACCAAACCCAACCTCTGACATCACCAAACCCTACCTCTGACATCACCAAACCCTACCTCTGACATCACCAAACCCAACCTTTGACATCACCAAACCCAACCTTTGACATCACCAAACCCAACCTTTGACGCCACCAAACCCAACCTTTGGCATCACCAAACCCAACCTTCACCCAGCGCTGCCCCACGGCACTGAGGGGGTGTGAACACCTCCAGGGCCGGTGCCCGCAGCCCTGCCCTGGGCCGCCTGTTGCAATGGGGCAGGAATTGCTCCCCAGCTCCATCTCAACCTCCCCTGGTGCAGCCTGAGGCCGCTCCCTCCCGTCCCATCCCCTGGGAGCCGAGCCCCCCCCCGGCTCCATCCTCCCGTCAGTCGGGAGCGATCAGGTCCCCCCGGAGCCTTCCCTTCCCCGTCTGACCCCCCCGCTCCAGCCCCACGGAGGGGGCCGGGGCCGGGCCAGGCTCGGCGCTGACCGGTGACCGCTTTCACAGCGGCTCCGGCCCCGGGCCCCTCCGTGCCCCAGGCGCGGCCTCCCCCGGCCCGCACGCACCCTGGAAGGCGAGCTCGTGCTTCCGCAGGACGCTGTCCCCGAGCCTCCGCAGCGTCTCCAGCGCCTTCTCCAGCCCCGCATCGGCGCCGCGGGGCCGCCCGGGCCCGGCCCGCAGCCCCGGGAACAGCTTCTTGGGGCCGGGCTGGGCCTCGCCCGCCGCCTCCCGCAGGTAGCGGCCGATGAGCTCCAGCGAGGCCTGGCGCAGGGCGTCCGGGGCGCCGCCGGGCAGCGGCGGGGCCGCCGCGGGGCCGCGCTCGGGCTCCGGCTCGAAGCCGTCCAGCTCCTCCTCGGGGCTCCGCAGCGGGACCGGCACCGGGCCCGGGCCGCAGCCCAGCAGCGCCTCGGAGCAGCCCGCGGGCCAGGCCCCCGCCGAGGGCGGCGGCGGCGGGGCCGGGCTGCCCCCGCAGTAGAGGTGCAGGCCGATGACCGCGTTCCGCTGCAGCGCGAACATGGCGGCCCCGCACAACGCCCGCGCCGCCGCCCGCTCCTCTCTATATGGCGGCCGTGACGCGGCGCCGCGGGGCGGGGACCGGGCACCGGCAGCGCCGGTTCCGCTTCCGGGAGCGCTTCCGGCCCGCGGGGGGCGCTGTGCGGGGCAGGGAGGGGCGGCGCGGGGCGGGGGTCGATGGGTGCGATGGGTGCCTATGGGGGCAATGGGTACTATGGGTGCTATGGATGCGATGGGTGCCTATGGGTGCTATGGATGCGATGGGTACTATGGGTGTCTATGGGTGCAATGGGCACTATGGGTGCGATGGGTGCCTATGGATGCAATGGGTGCCTATGGGTGCTATGGATGCGATGGGTGCCTATGGGTGCTATGGGTGTCTATGGATGCGATGGGTGTCTATGGATGCAATGAGTGCTATGGATGCGATGGGTGCCTATGGATGCAATGAGTGCTATGGATGCGATGGGTGCCTATGGATGCAATGAGTGCTATGGATGCAATGGGTGCCTATGGGGCAGAGCCAACCCCCGCTGCAGCCCTCAATCCGGGTTGGATGGGAATCAAAGGCTCAGGGGGGACCTGACTGCTCCCGACCTGACAGGAGCATGGAGCCGGGGGGGGGTCTCTGATCCCAGGGGATGGGACAGGAGGAAACGGCCTCAAGCTGCACCAGGGCAGGTTTAGATGGAGCTGAGGAACAATTCCTGCCCCACTGGACCAGGCTGCCCAGCGCAGGGGTTAACAGCTGGGTTCGATGATGTCAAAGCTCTTTCCCACCCCCGTTCATTCCATGACCCCGCTCCAGCCCTTTCGGTGCCCATCCAGAGCCACTGGAACCGGGGCTGGACCCCAGGACCCCCCCCCGGTGCCTCCTCTGAAGGCAGGGGAGGGTTTCCCTGTGCCCTGGGCTCGGCCACGCCGCGGCCACGTGCTGGGGCCTCCGGGTACCAGCCCCGTGCAAAGGGCACCGCAGCGAGACGTGAGCAGCACCGGGGCAGAGGTGGCCGCGGGTCACATCCTGGTGCTGAGCAAAGGCAAACCCTGCCCCTGCAGGAGCCTCCCTGTGGAATGTGGCCTGGTCGGGAAGCGCATTCCTGGCGCTGGGAACGGTGCCAGCCTGGAGAGCACAAACAGAGAGCATGGGACGGAACAGAACGTCCCTGAACCGGGGGGGGGGGCACGGGGACCGGCGGGGAGAAGCAGCCCCCCCGGGGACACCGGTGACGCCAGAGGTGACGTCAAGGCTGACGGTGCCGGGACAAAGGGAGGGGGGCACCGGGGGGCACCCCATGGCGATGGCCCTGAGCACCCCGCTTGCCACGGCCCCACTGCAAAGCACTTGGACAAGGAGCAGAGGACGGGAATGTGGGGCCCGGGCAGGGTGGGAATGCCCCCATTCCATCGCTATTTCCCTTGTATGGAATCGCTTTCCCTGGTTCTCATCCTGCAGCAAACAATCGCTTCCCTTCCCCATGGATTTCCAGCAAAGCAGGGAAAGACGTGGCCGGAGCCCCCCCGCCCCGAGCTGCAGCAGCCCCTTTTCCCGTCATTACAGCTCCTTGCCCGAGCGAAGGGAAGGCAAAGCAAGGCGCGCTCTGCACCAGCTGCACAAGTACAAAATTAGATGTATTTCTAGGTACACAGATCTATGCTTCAGGTCTATTTACAGCCCGGCAGGAGCAAGGAGCCTGCGGTCAGCGCCACGTCACCGGGGCCGTGCAAAGGGCCTGGAGGCCAAAGCCCAGCCCTGCGGTGAGCGGGGGGCACCCCCGGGGCTCCTCTGCCCACGCCACAAGCGGGGCAGGGAGCCCCCGGCTCCGGGTGCCCCATGGGAGCAGCTCAGGGCTGGCTCCGAGCACACCCTTAGCAAACACCTCCCGGGCAGCAGCACCCAGCGGGCAGGGGGGGCCCTGTCAGGCAGGAATGGGCCGTGCCCTGCAGAGCATCGCCCCCTGCCCCTGCCATGGGACCACCCCCCCGCATCCCCACATAATGAAAGCAAAACTCTATTTCCTCCGGAATGCCTCCCTCCCTAAGCAGGCACGGGAGCGCTGAGCCCCTGCGCTGCGCAGGGCAGGAGGTGCTGAGCCTCCGGGCGCTGCCTGAGGAGCGGGCAGGATGTGCACCGAGCGCTGCACGGGCTGCAGCATCGCACCCGCCTCGCTGCCCCCTTGGGGTTTGGCGGCTTTTGGCCAGGCCTGGAGCAAAGAAAAGGCAAAGAAGGGCAAGAAAAGGGAGGAAAAAGAAAGCCGAGCATGGGGCACCCAGCACTGCTCCTCCCTCCCTGTCTCCACGCTCTGTGGCTCTGGTGCATCCTCCCCATCCAGGGTGGTCGTTCCCTGCACCCACCTCGCTGGTTGCTTTGCAAGAGCCACCTCTCTGGTGTCCCCATCACCTTGCTGCTGGTGGGATCCAGCTCAGCACCTCCAGCAGCCCATGGGGACAGGACCTGCCTCAAGCCCTGCTGCTCAGCCCCACAGCATCCCCTGCCTGCAGCCACAGCCACACCGAGGCTCTACCCAGAGCAGCTTCAAGCCCCCAGGACCTTTCCAGACCCAGTCCCAGCACTGTGAGCTCAGTGCTGTGCGAGCTCAGCCCAGCATCGCAGCCACGGAGGTCTCTGCACATCCGCTTGCTCCTTCATCCCCAAGCTCCAGCCCGTGGCCCACCCCTTCTGCCCAGTTCACAGAGCTCAGCTCCGAGCGCTCCGCTCCTACCCAGCGCCGAGCAACAGCAACGACTCCAAGCCCCTTCCTGCTTCTCCCGGTGAGGAGGCAGCTCCAGAGGCTCCGCAGGCTTCCAAAGAGCAGGAAAACGAAGGCAGGAACTGAGAGGCTTCGCTGCAGGCTCTGCCGACTCAAACCTGCCCGTGGGTCCTGCGGGCACCTCTCGCATCTTCCGGGCTTTGGGCTGCGTTTGCCGGGATACTCAAGCACCTACGCGGGCGCCGGCGCTCCCGTCCCTGGGGTACAGCGAGGCTCAATCCACTGGGGCAGAGGCAGGAGGCCAGGAGGGTTGGCAGGGCCGCGGGCGCAGGTTACCCCGCCAGCTTGCTGGTCACGAGCGAGGACTTGCGCTGCGGGAGGTCCTGCGGGGTGGGGATGTGGTCTCCCGTCCCCAGGCTCTTGTCTGGCGCCGCGCTCGGCAGGGGCTTGTTCTTCATCTTCGCCTTGGCCATGTTGTAGTCGCCCGAATCGAAGTATTTTTGCTGGAAGAGGAGGCTGGGGTTACACTGGATCGAAGGAACCATCAGGGAGCTGCTCCAAGGCAGCTCCCAGCCCATCCCGCGAGGGAAGATCCACGCAGGGGAAGCTGCAGCCCGAGGGGTGCTGCGCTCCTGCATCACTCCCATCGTGATGGGGCCTCCTGCACGGCGCTGTGTGTCCCCCCCCCACTGGCAGTGCAGGGAAGGGGCTGAACCCCAGGGCTGGAGCCGCACGTACCCCTTTCTGCAGCCGCTTCATGAGGAAGTCGGAGCCCCCGGGTTTCTGGGCCAGGCTGGGGTATTTGGCCTTGAGTTTGAGCTCTTCTGCTCGCTCCAGGGTGATGGGGTCCTTGTGCTGCATGGCCTGAAACAGAGAGGGGCCAGGAGTCCTTTCAGCCCCACGGAAAGCACCAGAGCCCCACGCTCAGTCCCTGGGAACCGGGTCTGGAGCAGGGCCCAGGGGGGGCTCGGGGCTCCACGCATCTCCCCCGGAGCCCTCAGCCCCCCTTGGGGTGGGAGCGGGCAGTGAAAGGTGCCGGGGCCCCATCACCGCCTTCAGCGGGCCCGGGGGAGCTCAGCCCCATCCCGTCCCCATGGCAACGCCGGGCGCCGGCTGATACTGACCCCACACAGGGAGGCAACCGGGCTGGAAAAGGCCTTCAGCTCATCCCATCCAACCGGCCCCAGCGCTGCCCCACGGCGCTGCCCCATGGCGCGCCCCATGGCGCTCCCCATGGCCCTGCCCCATGGCTCTGCCTCATAGCGCTCCCCATGGCCCTGCCCCACGGCGCTGCCCCACGGCTCTGCCTCATAGCGCTCCCCCATAGCGCTCCCCATGGCCCTGCCCCGTGGCTCTGCCCCATGGCGCTGCCCCTTCACACACCGGGAGGGGGGGGGGGAAGCTTCTCCCCCATCTCCCGCACCCCAACGCTGTCAGCACCCCCAGACACCCCCCCAGCACCCCCAGTATCCCACAAGCCCCCGCGCACCCCGCACCACCGAGACCCCGCTCTCCCACCAGCCCTGTCGGAAGTCCAGCCCTCAACCACAACCGCAGCCAATGAGAATCCAGCATTCAGCAGCAACCAACCAATGCGCGCACAAGGCTGTGGCGAGCGACGTGCTGCTGAGCCAATGGGAGTCCCCGGACCCGCCCCCCCCCCCCGGGGGTCCCCACCTGCTTCTCCTGCCCCGTGTCCTGGGCGCGGGCGCCGGTACCGAGCGGGGCCGCCATGGCGGGGCCGGGAAGAGGCCTCCGCTCCCTCCGCGCTCCGCTCCAAAATGGCCGCTGCCGCCCCCTAACGCCTCAGCCCCATGACGGACAGCAGCTCTGACCAATGGGGATAGGGAGGCGGCCGCAGTGACATCACACCCGACCAATCAGCGCCCGCGGGGGAGACGGGGCGGAGCCTCCCCAGCTGGGGCGGCTACTGGCCAATGGGAAGCGAGGCGGCGCCACGGGGGCGGAGCCTCGGTCCCGGTGACCCCGCGTTCCCCGCTCTGCTCCCATGGGCAGCGCTGGAGCCACCGGTACCCAGCGCATCCCCGGCCCCGAGCGGCGCAGTTGAACACCCAGGACACCTCCTGCTGCCGAGAGTACATTGACCGGAGCCAAGGGAGCTGGGGGGGGGCACGGGGCGTAGAAAAGAGAATCACAGCTTCCCCCGCACGGGGAACGGGGGGCGATGGGGGCACGCAGGGACCCCTTGGAGCTGCCCCCCCATGGCTCTGCGCTGGGGTCACCCCATGGCAGAGGGAGCCGATGGAGCAGCAGCAGTGGCCGGTGGAGGAGCGAGGGTCCTGGCCACACAGGGGGGCTCGTACCCTGCAGGGGGGGGAAGAACCAAACACCCCCCCTCTTATCCCCAAGCCGAGCCCACCGCTGCTGCAGGAACGCTGTGCCCGGGCCCCCCCGGCTTTGAGCCGAGGGGCTGAGGCCGCCCCACATGGTCCCGGGGGGCTCTTTAGGACTTATTGAAGGCGGCCAGCACAGCCCACACCATCTCCGTGGCCCTGCCTTTGGCAGCCTCCACCTCCGGGTCCATCTCGAGGAGGTCTTTGGTCCTGTTCATGGCCACGTCGTACTTGTCGTCGGCCAGGCTGGCGAAGACGTTCTCCAGCACGTCCGAGGAGTGGGCGAGCACGAGGAGCGCCAGAGTCCTGCGCTCCATGCGGAGCGGGTCCTTGACCCAGCGCTCCAGGACGCTCTCCTGCAGGCGCCGCACCAGGCGCTGCTTCTCGGTGCCGTTGCTGACGGGGTGCGTGGTCATGTCGAAGAGCAGGAAGTTCTGCTTCTCCGTGGTGAGGATCCCCTTCTCCACCAGCGCCTTGGCCACGCGCTCCCGCACGTTCCGCAGCTGGTACTGCAGCTTGAAGGGGTTCCAGGTCTCTCCTGTGGGAGAAGGGAGATGGTGCAGCAAGGACTTGGGCACCCAACCCCGGCCCATCCCGGCTGCAGGAATCCTGCTCCTCCCCTGGGCCTCACTCCGGCTTCTCCCAGCATCCAAGCTGGGAAAGAGTCCTCAGGGCAGATCCATTGGGAACCCCCCTGTGAACCACTGGCTCCGCATGGGAAAAGATGGGGAGCAAGGTCCAGCTCCCAGAAAAATCAACCTGGAAAACCACCTCTGCCCCCACATTCCGCCTTCCCTTGCTCCGTTCTCAGCGCTCAGCCCCTGCCCAGTGCCCAGCCGTGGGGAAGGGACGGATGACAGCGAGCATCCCAAGGGATGGGGGTTCCAAGCGACCCTACCGGTGAGCAGCTCTATCCAGGTCTGCACCGTCTCTGCAGCCTCCGTGGCCTTGATGTGCCGGAGGGTCTCATCCAGCAGCACGTCCCCCGTGGGCGCATCCGACTTCAGGAGCACCTGGAAGGGCAGAGCGGGATCTGAGGCTGGATGCGGAGCCGCTGCTCCCGTCCCGCAGCCCCCACGGTGCTGAGGCGCAGCACCGGGCTCCGGCCCCTCGGCACCTTCCTCTCCAGCAGCCTCTTCTTCCTCATGGAGAGCGGCTCGAGGCGGATGCGGCCGCGGAAAGCCAGCTCGATGAGGATGCCGCCGCGCAGCCCCGAGGAGATGCAGTCATTCCAGAAGGAGGTGTAGCCCTGGGAGGAACAGGAAGGAGGGGATGGGAGCAGGAGCTCCGTTAGAGCCATTCCCAGCACCTGGACATCACCCAGCTCCAGGGACCCCTCCCACTGGAGCAGGGTGCCCCAAGCCCCATCCAAGCTGGCCCTGAGCACTGCCAGGGATGGGGCACGCATTTCCCACACACAAGCAGGAGGAGGAGATTCCAGGTCAGGGATGAAGGATGGGAAAACCCAACCAGCGGAGACCCGGCCCACTCCACATCCGCGTGGATGTGGTTGGTGTTTTCCAGGCCTGCCTCAGGAACCACAAGCTCCAAAGCAGCAGGAAGGTGCAGAGCTCTGGAAAACCCACAAGGAACCAGCAGAGGAGCTGGAGTGGGATAAGGGGGGGCAGCAGCAGAAGGGAAGGGAATGGCCGGTTCCCACTTCCACTGGGTGCAGCCCTGGGCTAAATCACAGCCAGAGACTGGAGCTGGCACCAGGAAGGAGGAAGCGTCTGGATAAGAAAGCCTGGGAATGGCCGCTAGGGCCTGTTCCCAACGGGCAGCTCCCCCAGGACACTGCAGCCACAGGAGCCCCGTCCCCAGGGATCGCAGCCTGGGATCAGGCAGCCTCCCCCGTGGGAGCCTTCGGAGGGGGTGCGCTCTGCTCCCGGCGCATCTGGACACACCGGGCTGTGCTCCTGCAGCCCAGGGAGCAGCGAGGGAGGGAGAATCCTCCCCTGCTCCCTTCACTTCCTTGTGTGCAAGGACAAAGGCGCCTTTCATCCCGGCCGTGCCCTGGGGAACCGGTTCCAGTGGAGGTGACCGAGGGCAACTCCAGCAGGTTCCAAGGGCTCTGGAACCACCCGAGCCCAAAGCTCGCGGTTCCTATCAGGCCCTGAAGCTGCTCCTTCAGTCCCGAAATCCCACCCTGAAATCCTGGGATTTGGATGAAATCGTGGGGGTTTTCCCCCAGCGGAGCTGGGAAAAGCCAATGGTGGGAGCCCAGCTCAGCGCCAGGCCCCTGCTGCCTCCCATGCCTCTGGAGAGGAAGGAATGCGGCAGGACAGGACCGCAGGGGCTGCTCACACCTCCTGCGCTCTCCCAACTTCCCGGTGCCTCCACGACCATTTCCAGGAACGCGCTAACCAAGCCAAGAGCACCAGAGCCAGCCCAGGACAATGCGGAGCTGCCGTGTTCCTATGGCCCTGCTCCCATCCTGGAGCTCATCCGGGTTCCTGACGCAAGGCGCCCGGCAGGGTCCTGAGCAGCTCCAGGTGGGAACACGGCACCAGCCCGCACTAACACGGCCCGAGCCTGGCTCCTCCTTTCCCTGCACTCGGGGTGCTCCTGCGTCCAGCAGCCCCCATGGCAGCAAAGCCCAGGGCTCGGCTTCCGCTATGGATGGGGCCGGTTTGCACCGAGGAGGTCGAGCTTTGCCCAGGAGGCCTCTGAGCATCCCCCCCGGCCCCCCCTTTACCTCCTTGTCCTTCAGCCCCAGCAGCAGCACCTCCTCCATCAGCGTCAGGCGAATGTCCTTGGAGTCGTCGGGGTCCTCCTCGGTCGGGTCCCTCTCGGCAGCCGCCTCCTCCTCCCCAGCCCCTTTCCTGCCCTCGGCGCGGCGGCTGCGGTGCGTGAGCGTCGTCATCTCCCCCCGAGCCGAGCTCTGCGCTGGGCACCACGGACACAGCAGTGCTGAGCCCCTGCCCCAGGACCCCGATCCCACCCTGCCCCGGGACCCCCATCCCACCCTTGCCAGGCCTGGGCAGTCACTGGGAGGGAGCAGCCGCTGCCACCCAACGGCTTAGAGCCATGGAGTGAACCAGGCTGGGCAAGGCCTTTCAGCTCATCCAGTCCCAGCTGCCAAGGGCACCACTGCCCCATGGCACTGAGAGCCTCAGCTACTCCAGCCCTGCCCTGGGCAGCCTGGTCCAATGGGGCAGGAATTGTTCCCCAGCTCCATCTAAACCTGACCTGGTGCAGCTTGAGGCCGTTTCCTCGCGTCCCATCCCTTGAGAGCAGAGCCCAGCCCCTTCTGGCTCCATCCTCCTGTCAGACACTTGGAGGGAGCGATCAGGTCCCCCCTGAGCCTTCTCTTCTCCATCTGAACCCCCCAGGTCCCTCAGCCCTTCCCCATCACTTGTGCTCCAGCCCCTGCACCAGCCCCACTGCCCTCCTATGGCCCCGCTCCAGCCCCTCAATGTCTTTCTTGCAGTGCGTGGCTCCGGGCTGAGCACAGGACTCGAGGTGCGGCCTCACCAGTGCCCAGCGCTGGAGGGGACGGGACGGGACGGGGGTGGGGGGCATCCCCGGGCCGCAGCACAGGGGGGTCCCCCCCGGGGACAGGGGCCGGGCCCGGCCTCACCTCGCAGCGCCGGTACCGCGCGTCCCGGAGCACCCGCCCCGGGGGTGCAGGGGGGGTACCCGGGCCCGTCCCCGCACGGGGCTCCAGCGCTGCGGGACGAGCTCCGCTCCCCGCCCCGGTCTTACCCTGCCCGGCGGCTCCTTCCCCGCGGTCAAACTTGGGGGGCCGGGCGGAGGAAACGCTTCCTGGTGGGGCCGGGGCGGGCGGGAGCTGCCGGCGGCTTCCTGCGCTGCGGGACCGCGGGCCAATGGGAGCCCGCACGGCGCCGGGGCCGCCAATGAGCGCGGCCGGGGGGCGGGAGCTGCTGGGATGCTCCGCCCCCTGCTCCGTTCCTTCCTCCCCTCCCTCCTCCTCCTCCTCGCTCGGCCCGGGGCGCCCGGCCGCCCGCCGAAGGAACACGGGAGCGCGGGGACCTTGGGAGCGTTTTAATCGAGGGCTCGGAAACGGAGATTTCAAAGGCTCAACCCGCGCAGGACCGCTCCTGCGGCACGCACAGCGGACGGGAAGGGACCTTGGTCGGTAGGCAAGGCGAAGAGCCGCGGCCGGCGGCACCGGGAAGCGTTTGGAGCACGTCCGTAAGGAATCTTCCACAGCCCCGCAGCTGAAGGCGTTGTCATTACACAGAAACGGAGCTCATCGCATCTGTTCCAGCGGGTTTGGCAGGAAATATGGAAGCGGAGGCGCGAAGAACGCTTCTTACTGGAGCGTGGTGCTAAAATGAACCCCCCAAGTGCCCCAGCAGCAAAAGCAGAACATGTAACAGTGCTGAAACCAAACCCAAGCTTGAATGAACGCAGGACTTGAGGAGGTTTGTGCCCCACAAGGCAGGTTCTGGGTAAGGAGCTCCTCAGCTTTGAAAGAGAGCCCAAAGTTCCTGGTGAAACCTTGAGTTGTGGGGAATGAACCTGTCACAGTCCCCATCAGAGTGCACCAGGCTACAAGCAGGAGTTAAATCCCCAACTCCTCTTGGAACAAGTTCCCTCCGTAGTCCTTCCCAATGGGATACAGCCTCCTATGAAAAATAACTTCTGATCTCTTCAACTGGGCTTCTTGACAGGCTTTTTTCCTTTCAGAACTGACCAGTTTGGATACAAACAGAACCAAAACGATCCCTAACAGCCATCTCAACAGGAACATTCGCATTCAACGACAACATGGAAGTGGTGTGGAGAACTCTGTGAAGGACCAGCTGCACACGGGCATCTAGAACTGCTCCTTTGGTTCACTGATCTTCCTCCTTTTTGGCAGCACATCTTGACTAGATGAGAGCTCAAACGGATGAACCTGCCAAGGGAGAACAATCCCTGTGTTACCGGGTGCTGCACAGCTCCATGGCATTAGCAAGTGGAACATGGGAAAAGACCACCCTGACCCAGATGCATCAAGAGCTGCATTGAGCATCTGGCTTCATCCTGCTACTACCTGGTCCCCATGCAGAGGTGCTAAGCCTGGAGAAACACCTGGATACTCTTCGCTGGCAGAACTGACCCTCCCTCCAAGCTCCTGAAGGAAGGAAGGCTGGGATGTGCTTATGCTGATAGAGCAGGAGCTCGTCTGTGGCACAGGGTGCCCAGAGAGGCTGTGGCTTTTCCTTCACACCAGGGAGTAAACGCATCCTCCAGAAGATCTCATCAATCCTAACTCATCTTTCTCAGCCCGTGTTAAGTGCACCAACGTTCAGCTTTCAGCTCTTTGGAACAGATGATTTCTTTTTGGATCCTAAGAATCCAAATGTGTTGAATTTCATGGGAATTTCAGAAGTGATGACAGTTCCATTCTGGCAGTGTGAAATGTATTGAAGCTTAAGAGGTTTATTCACCCTTTGGAACAGAGAAAGGTCTAAAGAACAGCAATAGAACAGTACTAACAGTGCTGGCCTGGAATAGCTTCCCACTCCTTGTCCTGCTCTCTGACATATTAAGTTGAGATGTTTTACTTGCCAAGTGATCCACCTAAAATCAGAAAAGAGATGTTTCCTTGAGAGAGCAGTAAATCCATCTATACATCAGGTTCAGTGCTGTAGCATGCACAGAGCTCTGTCTCTGCTCCCCACTGCTTAAACGGAAATTGAAATGCAGGAGTATTTAAATCCTCAATCATACCCACTGAAGTCACCAGCGCTATTTACAGCTGGAGGCTTCAAAGAGCCCTGGCAGAGACAAGCAGCAGTTATTTTGATCCGTAAGTCACTCACAGTTACCTGGGGCTATGATTTTTAAGCTCTCTTAAGGACCTGTGGCTGAAGTCATCCTCCACCTTTAAATTACACCACCCTGCTCCATGCAGGGATAGAGCCTGAGTCAGAAACCTGCCTTTTAACAACCTTTAAAGGTGTTTTGGAGCAGAGCCATTGCTGTTGGGCAGAGCATTTAGCGATGGCAGTTTAGCAACATGAGAATTGTATTACCAGTTCTCCTGACAACAGCCAGCCCATCTGCTTGGTGTGAAAGCTGTCTCACAGATCAAGAGCCTTTTGGTACTGCTCTGGATTGCTTTAGAGTATGAGCAGGTTTTGTGCATCACCAGCAAGTAAAATGTAAAGGCATTTTACTGCTTACAATACTGTTGTAAATTAACCTTTAGCAGCTTCCCTGTTCATTACTCCAAGTAGGAAAGAAGCTTTACAAAAGTTCTAGTAAAAGTTTAAGAAGACAGGATGGGGGTTTCGTACCTGAGGGTTAGAAACAGACGAATTCTGGTTCCCCCCAGCCTTTGTAACTCCATCTTCCTCACAAGTTAAGTGTGGTTCTGTGAAAGAGTTTCATAAGCTCAGTGTTGACAATCACAGCCTCTCAGCACTGGTGTTTGCCACCAGGAACACTTTGGAAATGCAGGGAATGTGCTCTTCCAAGGGCTCTGATTCTCTGTGTGCAAGCTGGTAACTGACCACCCACTGCCCTCTCTTACATCTTCAGCATTCAGTGATTTCCTATCACAGGCATAAAGAGATGCTTATGCTAAGTAGTAGATTTACACACAGGATCTTTGGAAAAGTGGGCTTGATCCCCAAAATCCTTTATACATTGGACAGCTAAAGGCTGGTCTACGTTGGGAATTGCTTAAACGCCTCAGGAATCCATTTTGCACTGCAGAACAGGGCATGTCCCTGTGGGACCACAGCGGCACAGCCTGTGCTGCCTCTGAGCCCACCAGCAGCTTGTAACCAAACACAACCCAAGGGAGCAGCTCCTGGAGCTACAGTTCCCTTGTCACTGCCTGCAGCTGCAGGAAACAGAGGCACAACCTGAAGAGACTTGACAAATACACAGGAATGTTACCTTGAGCTTCTGAAATCTTCACATTATTCCTCTCTTCCACTTTGTTATCCAGGCTGGGATTTTCCTAGATTAAGAAAAGGGACTACCATTTACTGCAGATACAGCAGGAAGAGGGTTTGTACTCAGATGCTCCAGGCCAGAGCTTTCCATGGATTCGCAGTGGAACAAACTGCACTGAAGTCATTTAATCTGACACGGAACGTGCAGAGCAGCTCAGCATTAACTCGTTAGTAATGAAACACATTTAATTCAACAACCAAGAAAAACACCTGTAAGAAGTACTACAATTGTAGCTGTCTGTATGTACAGTGCTGCACTAAAGGATCCCAGAGCACATTCATTGCTCTGGCTGTAGCAGCTCACTTCAGCCTGGTAGGGGACACCTTCAGGGAAGCTTCACTGTGTCCTGTGCTGCTTGTTCAGCTCCACATAACAGGTACCCACAGCACGAAGCTGCTCCTCTGCTCCTCACTGTCCTTGGCTCCTCTCTAGTCTCACAGAGACACAACTACCAACACTGGTGCTGCTGCTGGGCATTCTGCAGATGCACTTGTTCAATACTGCTTTGACAATGACAGATTCTAACTGGAGCAGTCAAATTCGAGGAAAAAACGTACTGAAGACATGATCTTGGTTAAATACATCTGGAAGCCCAGAGGTTTTTATTAATGGCAGAGCAAGACATGCAGTGACTCAATCAGTGGCCTTTCTCTAGGCTACAACCCACAGAACAAGCCACACAGAACATTTGTGCTCTTACATTCATGTCGCGGTTCTCCTCTTCTGGATCATCCCTGTCCACTCGGATCACCTGGAGAGGCACATTTGTCTCTCCTCTCTTCAGGATGCTTTTATCAACATTTTCCATTCGTTGCTTTTCAGTTGTCACTTTTACTTTCAGCATATGAAAAGGCGTTGGCACTTCACCCACGTTCAAATACATGGGCTCCCCTTCAAATATCATCCCCTCACATTCACCCTCTTTAAAGCCAGGGGGTTGGTAATCAGGTGGTGTAACTGCAGGAAAGGATTCATTACATGTGTTAGAATGAAACACATTCTATAAAATATATTTGAACTTGTATGGCAAGAAGACTTTTCTCCTTTAAATACAAAGAGCTCCTAAATAAATGCATGGGGAGCAGAGAATGATCAATGTTCAACTTGCACCAAGTTCTTTTTCCCCCTACACAACAGGCAAAACCCCATTAAAGCTATTTGAAACAATTAAATATAGAAAGAGATGATCTTGAAGCTCTGATTTTTCATTGTAAAGCAATGTAAAGTAATACTTTCTGAAAGCAGAGCTAGACATTTAAATAGTGATCCAAACCAGAACTGGCAAACATGTTACATCTTGGCATACTCTGGAAAACTGCTTTAAAATGCACTGAAATCCTGCGCCAGTGAAGTCAGTGACAGCATTTTGTTCCTACAGTGATCAAATCCATTCCCTTTGGATTTTAGAGTGTCATGAGAAACAGACACGAGCGAAATAACATCATCTCACAAGTCCCAACCTCCATAAAGATGCTACATGGAAAGATTTCTCTGAATTGCTTTCCAGTGCCTGAACAGAGTTGAGGAATCAGGGCAAGATGGAAACATTACCTTCATCATAATAGAACAGCTTCATAGTGAGGCAAACATCATTTGGTAAGGGGCTCAGGTTCTGCATCAGGACGTAGATCTTGCGGATGAGGAGGATGCTGGCTTTCTTGGTGTCTGCACAGGTGATGGTGGAGTTATTCCCTGTGTCCTTACTACAAATGAACAGAGTATTCAGAGTTTAATATACCAAGCTATTTTCACCATTTAGATACATGAGTAACAGACTATGAGTGTCACCCTCCACACATGAAATGTCTTAAAGAACCTGCTCAGAAAGTGCTGGACTCTGACACCAAGAATCATCTTTTGAGTGGACCTTGAAGAACATCACCTGCCAAAATGCCTTATTGCATGTGAAGTCTAAGCTGACAGTGTATGGTGGTACAATGAGGCTTAAGAGCCAGCATGAAGAAAGGAAACACCAAAGAGATCAGCTCCCCAGTTTTTACATTCAGGTGGAGAACCCCGGAGCAGAAGATCCCAAGGGCAGTACCTGCTGAAGTCCAGGAGGGGCCCATTGCTGGTGTACTTGAATTTGAAGTGGTAACACTCTGTGATGGTCTGCAAAGAAAGGCAGTGGTTACTGAGCTGCGAAGCAAAGTGCTGCTGGCTGGTAACCTGGTGCTTCAACTAATGACATCCCAGCTCCTGCCTCAGGCATGTCCACGCACCCAATAGGGCTTTATTCACAGCATTCATGTATGCAACTGCCATCCACAAAACCAAGGATCTACATTTCCCAGGAATCACCATGAGAAATGAGCTTGAAACAGGTTAAGTTTTCAGGATATGAATGGCAAGTACTACTGCTTGTATACAGGTATGAATGGTAAGTACTACTGCTTGTATACAGGTATGAATGGTAAGTACTACTGCTTTTATACAGGTATGAATGGTAAGTACTACTGCTTGTATACAGGTATGAATGGTAAGTACTACTGCTTGTATACAGGTATGAATGGTAAGTACTACTGCTTTTATACAGGTATGAATGGTAAGTACTACTGCTTGTATACAGGTATGAATGGTAAGGACTACTGCTTGTATACAGGTATGAATGGTAAGTACTACTGCTTGTATACAGGTATGAATGGTAAGTACTACTGCTTGTATACAGGTATGAATGGTAAGTACTACTGCTTTTATACAGGTATGAATGGTAAGTACTACTGCTTGTACACACATTTAACTATATCCATACTATACCCAGTAAAATATTCCAGCAGATTTACCTGAGGATCATCTGGATGGGTATAGACCTGTATTTTTAAAGTAAAGAGAAAAAGCAGAGTCAGAACTGTTCACCCCTCTAAGCAGCCACCTTAACCAAGCATGTACCTTACTCTTCAGAGATACTCACTGCCAGCACAATCATTCTGAGCTGTTGGAAACATAAGGAAAGAAAAAGAACATTAAATGCATTCCATAGCTCACTTCTGCTTGCCAAGCTGTTCTGGTTCTCTAGCTCTGGAGACCAACACAGACAACTGTACTGTCTGAAGGGAAACCTCTTTATATGTTCAATTCCTTGTCTATTGCAGAAAGGCCTTAACAACTGGCAGAAGAAAATGCCCACGTAGCTCTAATTTAAGTGTCTGCTTACAAAGAATATGATCCTGAGATGGGTATGCAACCACACTGTAGCTGTTTTAACACATTAAAGCACAGCTATTCCCTAACCAGAAAGTCCTGTAACTTTGCTGCAGGTAATGGATTTAGGTCAGTGAATGCTTTAACACATTTAAAATAGCTGAACGATAGAAAGACTTACGTATTTCTTCTGCAAGGCATCGTAGCATCCTAACATCCTGCAAAAACCAGATGATATTGTCCATCTAACCTCCATTTGCTTGGCTTCTGACTAACGACAATGGTCCCACTCCCTCTAAAAATGGACTTGCCTTTTCAAGCAACATTGCCAACCCTGCCCTGAAAGCAGGGCCTGTGCTGCTGTGCAACCACAGCAAGGCACCTTTGCTACCTGCCACCAAGCAGAAAAGTTCCTTTCAGAGCTGCCACGCTGTGGCAGTGTTCCAGATGCACGAAAACCAACGCACCATTTCACCAGCTGAGTGGAGCCAGGACAGTTCTTGTCTTCCCTCAGGATTTTGACACAGACATCTCCAAAAGAGCAGAATGAATCCATGCAGTTACTCAGGACAAAATGGAAGTACATTGCTAAGAAAGGAACGTTCATTCCCTAAAAGCATCTAGCAACAGCAGACTCAAATCAGCATTACCAATAGGTGTAGGCAGAGTTTTAGCTGCTGAGGCAGCATCACCATTAGCAACTGTTCATGTCTTAGTGAAGTTTCAATCCCAGTCACTGAAAATGGCCATTACATTAAGACCAAGTGGCTCTAAAAGCACTCAGTAACTTCTTAACAACCCTTTGACAACAGATTCTGCAAAGCAGCAGGAAACCAGCCTGTTACCATCCATGTATCGTGTCCTGTAGGCACTCTCAGGGAAGATCCCCCTCAGGTACGTAATGCAGGACACTGCTACTGCCAGGAGCCTCTTCACTAGCATCAGGGACTGCTGCTCTGTGGCTATTTTGGTAGGAAACACAACTGCACTCTGAAAGAGTATGGAAGAAGTTAATCCCCGTCCACATCCAACCTGGACAGGCTGCAGTCTGGTCCAGTGCAGGCTTAGCACTTGAATTGAATGGCAAAGTATCACTTTTGCCACTTATTAAGCATACTCCTAACACTTGCTGTATTCAGGTCAGAGCTGATCTCTACCAAGTGCACAAGCACAAAGGTCGGACTCAAGCTATTCTGTTACCCTATCTTTGCTCACAGGTAAAAGATGGAATTAACCTGCAGTTCTCAAGTGAAGCAGCACTACAGAGCCCCTGGGGGCACTGCATCAGCTGCAACTGCCTGCCTTTTCCAGTTCAAGCAACACCCTGATGGAAACCATACCGCACAGCTCCTTTGCTTCTGAGCAGTTGCCATCTTGCAGCGCTCTCCTGCCTGTTAAGGAAACACTGCGTTAACACGGCTCGGGCCATTCACAAGTGCAGGCTGCAGCTATTCCACTTCTGATACCTGAACCCACAAACTCTGCTTGTGCAATGGACCCGTTACCAGCTCAAACCAATGTCTGAACGTGCGGGAGGCACCATCCCGTTAGTGTTCACACACAGCAGAGACGAGGCCCTCGGTGCCATGGGTTAGGGTGGCCTTGGCAGGACGGGGAGCAGTTGGCCTGGATGAGCTGGAAGGGCTTTTCCACCCCGGTTGTTTCCAAAGGACCAGGACCCTAAGAAAGGGCTTTCCCTATTGAAGCCACCTCAGGGAAGCACTCCCAAGGTTTTGGGCTGTTTTCCTCTGCAAATTCAGAGTCCTGGGGAAGGAGACCCCTCAGGAGCTTTTGTTATTGAGCTGTGCTACTACTAAGCCTTTAAGGCCCAGCACCATGACTCACGCCTCCCCATCACCTCTATAAACAGAGCAGCACATGCCCAAGGCCATGACAACGGGTCTGTAACCGGGAGGAGAGCTCTGGGCCACGCAGGGAGCTGAGCTCCCCCTCAGAGGAGCCCGCACAGACCCGCCTGGTGCGGGCCGGAGCTCAGCACCTCTGTGAAGAACACGGCGCCAGAGGAGCCCCTCCGCGGCACTGCTCCCTTCCCAGAGCCCGCTGCCCCTCGGGATTAACACCGACCTTGGGAGGGAAACCAGCCCGGGGCAAGAGCACAGCGACACCGAGCACAGCTCCGCGCCCGGCCCTCAGAGCCGCCACCGCGCCCGGCCCTCCCCTTTTATAGGGCACGGGGCCGTGTGCAAACGGAGGGGCGGGGCGGCACCGGCGGCCGCGAGCCGTGCGCACCAAGATGGCGGCGGCGGGGGGCGTGTGTGGTTATGGCTGCCTGCGGGTGATGTACAGGGGAACGAAGGTCAGGCTGCTTGTTTAAGGTGCTGTTGCTTCCTCATGCTTATCGCAGGTGCGATGTACAAGGGGTAGATCAAGCCGCTCGCTTAACAGTGTGACTGGGAGGCAAACAGACCCCACAACTCGTTAGGGTTGTAAAGCAGGTACGCTTTATTCAGCGCTGAGGCGCATGGGGAGCGCTCCTCCGAAGCATGCGCACCCTTCCTTTGACACTCAGTTTGTATTACCTATAATGATTACCTAAACATGAGATTGCTTCACACCTCATGCATATGCAAACCCGATTCTCATCTAGGATTATAATTAGTTTTCTGGCATTCGTCCCATTGGTGCGCCTGCGCAGTGCCTCCTGGTGGTGGTCGTTGGGGGTTGTGAGGATGAAGGCCTGTAGTTCCTCTTCATCAACGCGGGTAGCCTCTTGCTTTCACGCAGACTCAATAGGGTTTCGGCTCCTGTCCAAACCTCAGGTTCAGTACAAGCCGGTTTTATGCATATTAAAGCAGAAACTTGCAGAGTTTGGAAATTCTGTTACTCTATTTTTTTTTTTGTTCCTTTTCTTTCTAAGGATACTATTTGAACAAGAATGTCTTCAGCGTTAACTTATGAATCTTATCTACTACAATTCTGCCTAGCAGCTCTAACTCCTGCAATTCTGCTTCACCTTTCTAGCAACTTTGGCTCCTACAGTTCTGCTTCAGCCATCACAGCAACTGCTTAAGCAAGCAGGCACAATGTTAACCTTTTATTTCCTGGTATCAAGTAGGGGTCTTCAGGATGAAGTAAGCAGTCTTCCTCACAGTGTACTTTTCACCTTTGGCACAGCTGGACGCCCCAGCAATCACACAACCAGCTGTACCTGTAATTCTGATAACTATCAAAGATTTAAAACAGTGTGACCTGCCTGCCAAATCTATTGCAGGACGGGCAGACAAGATGGTTGGGAGGCTCTGTCTCTAAGCTAACTGGTAAGTAGAAGGACGGTGTGAAATAATTCACTCATGTTTAGTGCGGCCACTACATTCCACACACAACATAAACACTGTTCTCTTTCTACAACGTAAGTTAAGCTTTATGTTTCCCAGGCACCAGCTTTCCTTATATCAAGCCCCTCGTCTTTCTTTTACCTTTACAAATTCTTTTGCTTTGTGACTCTGTTTTGCTCAAGAGTTCTGGCCCTTTTTCACGTGTTGTCTAATCTTGTGTCCTGAGCGAGCTTTGTTTCTGTTAGTGTGAACTGCCACAGTTATATCCGCATAACCACACCTCTGACTTGTGAAAGCCAATACACTTAGGTGTTTATCACACTGCCTCACTCTATGGAATGGCAGCAGCGCTGGGCCCAGGCTCCCGCCCGAGGAGCACCGCATCCCAAGGAACAATCCCCCCCGCACCGAGGCCTCGTCCCCGCGGCTCCAGGGCCGGGGCCCGCAGCCTGGTCCAGTGGGGCAGGAGCTCTCCCTCCGCCCCATCTCAGCCTCCCCTGGCTCAGCTTGAGGCCCTTCTCTCCCGTTCCCGGGGCCGGGCTCTCCGGTGCCGCCGGGCAGCAGCGCTCAACATGGCGGCATCGGCGGAGCCAGCGCAGGCCGCGCCGGTGCGCGTGTGAGCGCCCGCAGTGCGCATGCGGGAGGGCCCCGACTCCTTCCCCTTCCCTTTCGCTTCCCTCCGGTGGCGCTCGGAGCCTGCCCGCCCCCGTCCCTCGGTGCCGCCCCCGTCCCTCGGTGCCGGTCCCCGCCGCTCCCCCGGTTCCGGCCCCGCTCCCCGCTCCCCAGGGGCCTGCGCCCGGCGGGGCCGCGCCGTCTCCATGGTAACGCGCGGAAGGGGCGGTGCGCGGCGAACCGGAAATGACGCGTGCGCGGCGCGGGGGCGGTGGAGCCATAGCCGCAGCCGCAGTCGCAGCCGGAGCCGGGCCGCAGCCGGAGCCATGTCCGCGGGCGGAGCAGCGCAGCGCGATGCCGGGGCCGCCGCCGGGTGAGGCCGCGCCGCGGGTCCCTCACAGCGCCCCCGGGCAGCAGCGGCGGCTCCGGGGCCCGGCCTGGAGCTGCCGCGGCCGCCGCTGAGGCCTCTGTGTTTTGCAGGCGCCGCAGTAAATGGGACCAGCCCGGCCCGGCCCCCGCCTTCCTCCTCCCGGGCACGGCGCCGCTGCCCGGGCGGCCCTTTCCCGGCGGCGGCGACGGCGGCTCCGCGGTGGCGGGGTCCGAGAGCTCCGCGGCGCCCTCGGGAGCGCTGGATGCGGCCGCGGCCGTGGCCGCCAAGATCAACGCGATGCTGATGGCCAAGGGGAAGCTGAAGCCGGCGCCCAGCACCGCAGACAAGGTGGGTGCGCGCAGCGGAGCGGGGGGACTAGGGGGGTGTCACGGCTGTGATGGGGAGACCTGCGGGCCTTGAGTGTCCGAGGAGCCCTCGGCGAGGTGGGAAAGGGTGGAGAGCGGCGAGGCCCGGCCTGGTTTGGGTTGAAGGGACCTTAAAGCTCATCCAGTCCCAAGTCCTGCCACGGGCAGGGACCCCTTCCACTGGAGCAGGGTGCTCCAAGCCCCTGTGTCCAACCTGGCCTTGAACACTGCCAGGGATGGGGCAGCCACAGCTCCTCTGGGCACCCTGTGCCAGCGCCTCAGCACCCTCACAGGGAAGAGCTTCTGCCTAATATTGAGCCTAAATCCCCCGTTTCAGTCTGAACCCGTCACACGTTCTCCTGTCACTCCAGTCTCTGACAAAGGTCCCTCTCCAGCATCCTTGTAGCCTTTTTCAGACACTGGCAGCTGCTCTGAGGTCTCCACGCAGCTTCTGCCATCTCTATGTCTCTGGCTTTTTCTTTCAGAGCACTTAGGTACTGGCACAGAATGTGGTGCCCTTGATTTAAACCAAAAACCGAGGGGGGAAAGTGTAGTCATGGTGTGGGCAAGTTCAGGTCTTGAACAAGAGCTCTGTGTTGAAGAGGAGTTGAAATATGAATCCCAGGTGTTCTTAGGCTCAGCTTTCTGCCCGAGCTGCCAGCTCGAGTGTGAGATGCCTTGGGTTTGGTTTGAGCAACTTTGCTGCTTGCTTCTACATCTGTTTTCTCTATTTATAGAGCAGAAGCAGCAGTTACTTATGGTACTCCAGTGTGCTGAAGGTAAAAGTGGTGGTTTGATTTAGGCACAAGGTTGTGAGAGGTAAATGAAGTAGTGGATGTGGTGTGCTTTCTGTTAATGTCTGTAAAGGTTCAACAGCTGAAACGGGAGAAGGGAAAGGATTTTCCCCTCTAGAGCACCAGGGCCCATGGTTGCATCGTTTTTCTCTGCTTTCTATCTATTTCTGGTCTTTTGCCACGGTTCTCTTTGAAGCTGCAGGCGCTGGGAAAAGGTCCAGCTACAAATAAAAGCAAAGATGACCTTGTGGTGGCAGAGGTGGAAATCAATGACGTGCCCCTCACGTGCAGGAACCTGCTGACGAGAGGACAGACTCAGGATGAGGTACGGGCAGGATCTACAGCTGCTTTGTTGGGCTCGGCAGCACGCTTGGGCCTCTTTGTAAGGCAAAAAGAGCTGCAATCGGCTACAGTTGGTGGTGGTTTCCTTTTTACCAAGCTCAGGGTTTTCTGAAGGCGCTTTATTTAGCGGTGTATTCACTACAGTATCATATAATGAGCTCAGGTAGCACAGTTGGTATCTTTTAGTGGGTCCCATCTCTTTTCTCACCACGTTACTAATGTGTCTGTTCCCTATAGATCCCAACAAAGCTTAAACACTTTGGGGTTTTGCTGTGCTTGCTTTCTTGGTGTTAAACTTGTCCCTGGCCTTTGCAATCATTTGTAGATAAGTCGCCTGAGCGGAGCGGCTGTATCGACCCGCGGGAGGTTCATGACAGCAGAAGAGAAAGCCAAAGTGGGACCAGGGTTTGTATTCCTCTTTGGGGGCTCAGTGGTGGGGCTGTAGGGTTGGTTTCTGTGGGCAGTGTCACCCTTGGGGGCCAGTCAATGGAGTATTGAGTGTTTGGAATGTGTTTGCCATTAGTGTAGTGCTAAGTGCATGGCTGTTCCCCCACCTACCTAATACTGAGAGATGAAACAAAGAGTGTCTGAAGTCCTTATGGAAGGCTTTCTGTCTGTAACATAAGTGTATGTATTAGATTGGCTCCGGTCTTGTGTGTTCCTTGGGAGCTTAGTGGCATATTTGACTATTTCCTTTCCAGAGATCGTCCTTTATATCTTCACGTCCAGGGCCAGACACGGGAGCTGGTTGACAGTAAGTACAAAATGAATCCTGCTCTTCCATCATTACTTGTGGGAAAGGGGGGAATTAAGGGCCTTTGTTATGGCCAGCATGGATTTGCACTGTAAATGTCTTGGTGTTGGTAACAGATGCTTGTTGCATCCTTTCTGAGCCAATCTGGAATGCTAATACTAGGTTTGGGTGGTCTGGACAGTTGACAAGGGCCAAAACAACTGAGTTCCCTGTTTTGTCAACTAGGAGCTGTTAACAGAATTAAAGAGATCATTACTAATGGAGTAGTGAAAGCAGCTACAGGCTCTAGTCCGACCTTCAACGGAGCTACAGTTACTGTCTACCACCAGCCAGCCCCTATTACTCAGTTGTCTCCAGCAGTTGGTCAGAAACCTCCATTCCAGTCAGGGGTGAGTAATGCACTGCTGTGACTGTCACTGGTGACACGATTTACCTGTCACAAAGTGTACAGTGTGTGTCCTGGAGGACTGATCGAGCTGAGCCTGAAGAGTGAGGCTCAGGGGACAGCAGCCTCCTAAAAGAAAAGGGATGGAGAGAGCAGTCCTGCTTACAGAAGAGCAAAGGGCTGACTGTGCCATCTGACACTCGCCTGTCACAGGAACAACATTTCTAGCCTTGTACTTAGAGTGAAATAATAAGCTTTTACTGTTCCATTTCCAGATGCATTATGTTCAGGACAAGTTATTTGTTGGATTGGAACATGCTGTACCTACGTTCAATGTGAAGGAGAAGGTGGAAGGGCCTGGTTGCTCCTATTTGCAGCACATTCAGATTGAAACGGGTGCCAAAGTCTTTCTTCGTGGCAAAGGCTCAGGTTGCATAGAGCCAGCATCGGGCAGAGAGGCTTTTGAACCCATGTACATTTACATCAGGTATGAGGGGTGTTTGGAAACAAACAGCAACAACGGAAGGAGCTCGCAGGAACACCGGTGCTGATGAGCTCTTCCTTTGTGTGTGTTTGCAGTCACCCAAAGCCAGAAGGTTTGGCAGCTGCTAAAAAGCTGTGTGAGAACCTATTGCAAACCGTGAGTAGCTCTTACAGAGCCTGTCACAGCCCCGGTGTGTGCCTGGCTGTTGCTGCTTTGTGTGCTCCCAGCCAAACTGCCCCTGTGTCCGGGCTTCCTAAGGGTGTTTTCCCTTCTGAGCACTGCTGAGTCTTTCTGTTAGCATTGGTAATGGAGCGTGGGCTGCAGAGCCTCTTCTGAAGAATAGATGGAAGCTTTTAGCTTCTTTGACTGAAGTGGTTTGTTTGCCACTCTGTTTCCTGTGCAGGATTATCCTGTGTGTTACAGGAGTCTGTCCCAGAGCCAGCAGGATGAGTGGGGTTTTGTTCTCAGTGTGTGTGTGTATGTGGATTATTGCTGTCCCTCTGCATGCTGTGTTCTGGAAGCAAAGCCCCCTTACAGCTGTGTGGTCAAATGCCTTTTGCCTGTGAAAGGTTAATACACTACATAGTGAATGGTTCTTGTCTAATCTCTGCCAATTCCTTGCAGGTGCATGCTGAGTACTCTCGGTTTGTGAACCAGATAACCACTGCAGTACCCCTAGCAGGTAAACCTCCACAATACTGAAGCGTTTGGAGTTGTGTTCTGCAGAGTTGTGCTTGCAGTTAGTTCTGTGGGAGTCTTGAACTTGCAGCCCTTCATTTTTGGCAGTGAAACGGGGTGTTTTGGTGACAGACTGAATTGAAGATGGTGTTTTCCCTCTAGGCTTCACACAGCCTGCCGCTATCAACAGCGTACCTTCCCAGCCCTCCTATTACCCTTCCAATGGCTACCAGTCTGGTTATCCTGTGGTTCCTCCTCCTCAACAACCAGTTCAGCCACCGTATGGGGTACCAGGCATAGTACCACCTGCAGTACCTTTGGCACCTGGAGTCTTAACAACGCTACCTACAGGAGTTCCGCCTGTGCCAACGCAGTATCCCATATCTCAAGTACAGCCTCCAGCCAGCACTGGCCAGGTACTGCCACAGTTCATCTTTTGCCCTGTAGTTGTCAGTTTATGAAGTTGTTTCTTTGCTAGCACGAAAATACTCGGAGTAGTTCCAGATGGAGAATTCCTGAGGGCTTTTGGATTTGTTCATGCTTTGCTGCTGTCTGAGCAATGACATTGTTGGATGGCTGCTTCAGCCTCTATTTTTCATAACCTGTGAACATAAAGAATATTTGCAGGGGGTGCTCACTCCCATAGGGAAGGTGTTACCACAGGCTTTGATGCAGCTCTGTGTAAGTACAATGGGCTGGAGCTACAGACAGTGATTAGTTTCTAGAAATGAAATACTTGTTTCCTCTTGAAGTTGTGAATTTCCTTCCAGTTTCTCTTCGGTTCTGCCTATTTGTGTGTTCTGCTCCTGTGTCTGAAAGGCTGCGTCTGATGTATGCTTCCTATGCCCATTATCAAATTTTCTTGTCTTTCATCTTCTGCACACCAGAGCCCACTGAGTGGTCCTTTCCTTCCTGCTGCCCCGGTTAAAACCACCCTGCCGACTGGTTCACAGCCCCAAGTCCAACCCCATCCCCAGGGTCAAAAGCGACGCTTCACTGAGGAGCTGCCAGATGAGAGGGAGTCAGGACTGCTGGGATACCAGGTGGAATAAAATCACCCATTTTACTTCATTCACCAAAGCAGAACTTGGCTGCAGAGGGATGATTTAGCACAGTTAATCTGGGAAGAGTCGTGCAAGGCCTTTGGCAGACGGCTGCGGTTGTTGCACAACCTCAAGACCACGCTTTGGTTTCTTTGAGTGGATGCACCGTGGTTAAACTGTGACTTGCTGATGCATTGGCACCTTGTTTTCATACCTCAGCCTTCCCTGAAGGCTGCTGGTGCATTCAGGTCAAAGAGATGCCCACAGTGTGTTTTTGCTTAGTTTAAAGGGAGATTCTTTGGGGTCTGGGGGGTCTTTTGCAGGCTTGTTTGAAGGGTGGGAGGGAACCGTGGTAGTAACTCCCAGATTTTCCCCATTTACCTTCCTTGCAGGTTGCACTTGAGAGGATTTCAAGCAGCCTGAGTTAAAAATAGTTATTTTTGTTTTAGAGAGCAGAGCAGTTGATTTTAGTTAAAGCAATTTTGAGTTCTTCAGGCTTGTATGTGAGAAAAGGGAGCTTCTGCAAATGCTCCTCAGGTCGTCCAGCCCTGCTCACATAAAACCTCTGCCTAGAGGCAGTAAGCACCTGGCTCTCTGTTAGCCCTACTATGACCATCTCCAGCAGAGTTGACTCTGTACAGTGCTCAGAATTAGCTGACCGAGGAGGGAATAAGTTATCCATGAACCAAGGCTACTGCTGAGGTGGAGCAGGCGATGAGGTGCCTTCCCTCGTACTTCTCAGGCGTGTTCCTTACTGCATTACCCTCAGTATCTTTAGGAGAAAGCCTCTTGTTGAACAGGGGTGGTTAGTGGTTCCTTCTGCTAGTTGGCAATATGCTCTGAAAAGTTGGCTTTCCTATCATTATCATTAAGGAGCTGGAGCTTATGTTGTAGTGGTAGATTTGCTAATGCCGTGTGTTTTTCTGCTCATAGCATGGACCCATTCATATGACTAATTTAGGTACAGGCTTCTCCAGTCAGAGTGAACTCGATGGAGCCGGGTCGAAGGCAGCAAGTTCCTCAGGAAAGGAGAGAGAGAGGGACAGGTGAGTGAGGGCAGGATGACATCCAGGTCTCTCCTGATCCTGATGGAAAGCCGAGGGGATCTGTGTTTCATGTTCTCTGCTGTGAAACAGCACCAGAGCATGGTTGGGGTTGGAAGGGACCTTGAAAGAGCATCTAGGCCACCCCCTCTCTTGTGGAAAGGGACATCTACTAGATGATGCTCCACGCAGCTCGGTGTCATTGGTACCCCTGTCTGGCATCGATGAAGATACTAAATAGTATTGCTCCCAGTATGGACCCTTGAGGGATACCACTTGTTTACTGGTTTCCACTTGGATGCTGAGCTGTTGACTGTAATTCTTCGGATGTGGCCATCCAGCCAATTCCTTACCCATTTAATAGCCCATCCATCAAATCCTCTCTGATTTAGAGCTAAGAATGTTGGGGTGACCATAGTGAAGCTTTACAGAACTCCAGGTAGGTGACATCAGTTGCTCTTCTCTTGTCCACTGACGCAGTCGCTCCATCTGAGAAGACCACTAGATTAGTCAGGCAATTAAAAGTTAAGGGTCAAGGACTGCCTCCTGAGCTTGTTTGCTGTTACCTTTGACTCTCTGCTTGCTTAAACCACAAGAACTAAGGGCCTGCATTGCTTTAAACAGGCAGTTGATGCCTCCGCCAGCTTTTCCTGTCACTGGGATGAAATCGGACTCTGAAGACAGAAATGGTGCGGGGTCTTTACCAGGCAACCATGGTGAGTGCAGTGAATGAGAGACACTTGTAAGTCAAGTTTCCTTTCCCATATGGGTTCACGCTGGTCTTAACGTGTTTAAAGCAGTGGGGCTTCTTTTTGGCTCTTTAGACTGTCTAGACGGAAAGCAGCTCATGCTGCACTGCTCTAAACCCACTGTGATTAAACACAGGATGCTTCTCTTAGAGCCTCAATAAATACCTGTATGGATGAGGAGAGTGTAATGGACTGAAGGACAGGTGTTTTTGACCCAGAGGCACACGATCTCCTAGGCTTGTTTTGTAACACGGATGTCCTGTGGCTTTACTTTGTGAACAGCTCTCTCTAGAGGCACTGTCGGTGGGAGTTGTGGTTCAGGTGTGTATGCACAGACACGAGCTGTGTCTGCAAAGGACACAAGTGCTCTCGGAGCTCATCCTCTCGTAGGGCTGGGTTTGCAGCTTGGTAAAACATGGCATCACTCGAACTCTTGGGGTCGGTTGGTGCCTGGCAGGCCTGCAGGTGCCTCACGTTAGGCCTCTTTAACGGCAGTTTCTCTGCAGTATTGCTCCCAGAGGTTGTCCTTCTGTGAGCTTGCTTTTGAGCTAAGGTCCTCCTTTTCTTGACGCGTTGATCTCTGTAACGGTGACGTTGCCATCGCTGACGCCCAGTTGCTAACTTGCCCTTTCTTGTGTGTTTCTTTCTTCTTTCTCTGTTCTCTTACATGGTTCTGATGGATCACATGTGCTGTTGCTGCTGGTGTTTCGTGTGGCCTTCGACCTTGGATGACCATTGGCCTTGTGACCTCAAAATGGTGTCCAACTAACGATTTACAATTAACGTCTTTTTTTATTAACTCGTTTTGGGGCATTTTTATCTCTTTTTGGTTTGATTTTTTTCCCTTCTCGGGGGCTGGGGGGGTGTGTGTTTTGTTTTCCCCTCCTAGATCATCAAGCAAAGAAGATGAAAACTGCAGAAAAGGGCTTTGGTTTAGTGGCATATGCTGGAGATTCATCAGATGAAGAGGAGGAACATGGGGGCCATAAAACCGCAAGTACCTTTTCACAGGGCTGGAGTTTGGGGTACCAGTACCCGTCCTCACAACAGCGAGCTAAGCAACAGATGCCATTTTGGATGGCACCGTAAGAGCTGCAGAGAAGAGTTTTCATTCATCTGGGTTTTTTTTCCCCCCCTTTAGCAATAATGCATGTATATTACAGCCTGAACTTTGCAAATACCCCTTGTTTTTACAGTTGCAGAAGTTAAAAGGTTCAGTGTTCCCCCCTTTGAAAGGGATCCATCGTTTTAAAATTCCTTATTTCTGCAGTGAATCTGTCCAATAAAACCCCACCATGAACTGCAGTAGTGGTGACAGGGCTAGGCCCTTGTGCAGCGGGGGAAGCGCTGTGAAGAGAAGAGAGGGAAGGCTCCCTTGTTCCAGGATCACTTAAAAAAAAGGGCCTGAGTCGGTCCCGCTGCCTTCACCCTCTGCCTGGTGCTTGTGTTGTATGGAGCGCTCCTGCGCTCGGCCTGGGTTTGCAGCCCTGTTTGAGCTGATGGTGACCACAGCTTCGGTGTTGGGACTCTGAGCCAGGGAAAGGAAGGCACAATCGCTGTGACGAAGCTGAGGAGCGGGGTTCTTCAACCTCTTCCTTTGTTTTACTTCTCGAGCATCTCCTGTAACTCGGCACTGGGGTTTGCTTCTTTTACTGCCCCACACCTCCTCCTTCCAGACGGATGGGGAGCACATGGGTTTGTCTCCATCTTCTCCCCTCCCTCCGGGCTTGGTCCCATGCCCGAGGCGCACAGGACTCCTGCTGAGAGCTTGGCTCCATCTCTTCCTTCATCCTCCACCCCTTGTGGCTCACGGTGGGCACCGTCCAGGACCCCTCCTGCCTTGACCCTGGGCCCAAGCTCTTGGCCTGGGGCTGGACATGAACTGGAACAGGCATTTGCGTGGCGGTGCAGAGCTCTCGGATGGGGAAGGGCCGTGGCGAGGTGATGCTCGGCGTCTGGAACGGGACAAACGGCCTTGAACCGGGGCTGCGTGGTGCTGCCGTGCCCCGGGGGCCGCGCTTGGACACCCCCGGCCTCCCCCCCGTGCTGTAAATACCCGGACCCCCCTTTTGTGGCCATTAAAAGTGCAAAGAGCCCGGGTCTGGCCGCTCGCTGGGGTGCGGGTCCCTCCGGGGAGCAGAACGCGAAGGGAGCGGCGGCGCCAGCGCGCTTGCGCTGACCCCTCCGGGCCGCCGTCCAGCGCCGCCCCTCGGCGCGGCTCTGGCGGTGAAGGAGCCGCCGCCATTTTGGTGCCGCCGCCGCCGCCTGAGGTGGAGGAGCCGGCGGAGGCTGAGGAGAGCCGCGGGGGCAGCGGCCGCCGTTCGCGATCGTTCTGTCCGCCGCGACGCTGAGGAGATGGAGCCCGGAGCGCGGCCGGGCTGCGGCGCCGCGCCGGGGCAGTCCCGCGAGTACAAGCTGGTGATGCTGGGCGCCGGTGGTGTCGGCAAGAGCGGTGCGTGCGCGCCGGGGCCCGCGGGAGGATGGCTCCTGACGGCCGTGTCCGGATGCTCGGGGCGGGGGGGGGGACGGACGTGGACGGGACGGAGCCATCGCGCTCCGGTGCCCGGCGTCTCTCGGCTTGCAGCGAGCGGGGCTCTGGTTCCGCTGCCGGGGGAGGAGCGGGCTGAGGCCCGGTAAGGGCTGGATGCTGGGGCCGCTGGTGCTGCCCAGCCCGTGCCATTGCGCCTCTGGCTTTCGTTTGTAGCCATGACCATGCAGTTCATCAGCCACCGCTTCCCGGAGGACCACGATCCCACCATCGGTAAGGAAAGGCTCTCTGTGCCCTCCAGGTGAAGCTCTTGGGGGGGCCCTTGCTTGCAAGCACTCGGTTGAAAGCGAGCTGTGCGTTGGGCTGTGAAGTTGGGGACCAAAGTCCTTTGGGTTTCTCACTTAAAGCTATGAGGAGTCCTGAGGCTGCTGGGGGGCCCGGCACAGACCCAGGCTGAGGTTTAGCTCCTCACTGCTTTCCCTTTCCCATAGAGTCAGGCCATTCGCTGTCTGTGTTGGCAGGAAAGGGCTGGAAACCCGCGGGGGTCAGTGCGAGCTCCCTGTAAACCCACTCCCCATGGTGGGGAGCAGCTCCCTGCTAGGAGCCTGTCAGCCCCAGTTGTGTCCTGTGATTTAGAGACGGAGAGGGAGGGAAGCACCCGACAGCTTCCTCTGCCACTGCAGGACCTCTGCAGCATCCCAAAGGAACCTCTTCCACCAGGGCAAAGGGAAAGTGGGAACAGCAGCAGCCTCGGAGGAACACAGCATTCATTCATCAGCTTCCAAGGGAGCAGCAGCTGGGGGGGGGGGGGGGGCAGCTCTTCCTCACATTCCGGGTGTGTTCTGCCTTTGGGAGAAGGGCAAGGCCCTTCCTCTGTGCTGTGAACTGAAGGGAGGTTGTGGAGCGGAGTCTGAAAGAGCAGGGCCAGCGCTGGGACTTAAGCAAGCGTGCGGGAGGACCTTAAATCCCATCGTTCGGTGTTAAACTTTGAGACCTGAGAGCCCCTGAGTGTTGCACTTGTGGCCAACCTTGTTCTTTCCCTTGTGCTGTGGATTCACAGAGGATGCTTATAAGATACGGATACGCATTGATGACGAACCTGCCAATCTGGATATCCTGGACACAGCAGGACAGGTATGGCAATAAAGAATATTAGGAGGATGTTAAGTGTCCAATGGTCAGGCATGGAGACAGCAACCCTGGAGCAGTATCCATGTCTTTGCTTTTTGAGCTTTCCTAAGCCTTGTGTTGCTCACAGCATCTGTATCGCACAGTCTGTATTTAGGCACCTCAGGAGGGTGCTCTGCTTCCAGGCAGTGCTTTCTCTGCTGCAGTGTTCTGTTCATGAACAACAAGCAATAGGTCCTGGTGATAAATGGCATGTTGGGGTGATGTCTAGCGAGGACACTTGGTGTTAATCCCAGCATGTGCTGCCTTGTCCTGCAGTAATGGGACATTAGAATGGGTTGGGTTGGAAGGAACCTTAAAGCTCATCCAGTTCCAACCCAGACCCCTTCCACTGGAGCAGGGTGCTCCAAGCCCCTCTGTCCAGCCTGGCCTTGAACACTGCCAGGGATGGGGCAGCCACAGCTTCTCTGTGCCGGGGCCTCTTCCCCAGCTGACAGTGCTCACACTGCTGCTGTGCACGTGGGGTCCGTGGTGAGCAGCTCAAAAAGCGCTGGTGCAGCTGCAGCGTCCTCATCTCTTTGCAGGCAGAGTTCACGGCCATGAGGGACCAGTACATGAGGGCTGGGGAGGGCTTCATCATCTGCTACTCCATCACGGACCGGCGCAGCTTCCACGAGGTGCGCGAGTTCAAGCAGCTCATCTACCGCGTGCGCCGCACCGACGACACCCCCGTGGTGCTGGTGGGCAACAAGTCCGACCTCACGCAGCTGCGGCAGGTAAACGGCCCCCACCAGGCCCGGCCTGCAGGCTCCTCCTGGTGGGAAGCGCAGGAAGGCAAAGGGCTCCCTCTGAACCCATCACCCCTTGTCCTGCCCCACAGCCCCTGGGGAAGGCCCCTCTCCAGCATCCTTGTAGCCCCCTTTGGACACTGGAAGCTGCTCTGAGGTCTCCCTGCAGCTTCTCGTCTCCACTTTGCAAAGTGGCTTTGTTGTTCATGAATGTGCAGAGGGTTCCTTGCAGTTGGCTGCGTTGCTGCAGAAGTGAGGAGTGAAAGTGAAAGAAAAACAGGTTTTCAGAGAAAGACGTAGGAAGCCGTGGCCCTGAGCTGTCGTGGGGCAGGGAAGCTGCATACGCAGCTCCAGAGCAGGCAGAACAAGAGGAGTAAACCTGGTACCAGCACCAGTGTGGCAGCAGGGCCAGGGCAGGGATTGTGGTGAGGCTGCACCTTGAATCCTGTGTTCAGCTCTGGGCCCTCACTGCAAGAGAGACCTTGAGGTGCTGGAGCAGGGCCATAGGAGGGCAATGGAGCTGGAGCAGGGCCTGGAGCACAAGTGATGGGGAACGGCTGAGGGACCTGGGGGGTTCAGATGGAGAAGAGAAGGCTCAGGGGGACCTGATCGCTCCCTCCAAGTGCCTGACAGGAGGATGGAGCCAGGAGGAGCTGGGCTCTGCTCCCAAGGAACAAGGGATGGGACGCGAGGAAACGGCCTCAAGCTGCACCAGGGCAAGTTTAGATGGAGCTGAGGAACAATTCCTGCCCCACTGGACCAGGCTGCCCAGGGCAGGGCTGCAGTCACCGGCCCTGCAAGTGTTCACACACTGTGGAGAGGAGGCCTCAGTGCCATGGGGCAGTGGTGGCCTGGGCAGTGCTGGGGTAAGGGTTGGCCTGGATGAGCTGGAAGCTCTTTCCCGACCCCTTTGATTCCATGCTTCTGGCTTTGCCTTTCCTGACGGGTGGGGTTTCTATTGCAGGTCTCTAAAGAAGAAGGCTCATCTTTAGCTCGAGAGTTCAACTGCCCCTTCTTTGAGACGTCGGCCGCGTTCCGCTACTACATCGACGACGTGTTCCATGCCCTGGTGCGGGAGATCCGCAGGAAGGAGAAGGAAGCAGTGATGGCCATGGAGAAGAAATCCAAACCCAAAAGCAGCGTGTGGAAAAGGCTCAAGTCCCCCTTTCGAAGGAAGAAGGATTCAGTCACTTGAACAGAGAGGATTCCTCTGCCCATAGAACAAAACCTGGGAACAGCCGTTTGTAACCAAAGCAGTTTAGTGACAACGTTTTGGTGGTGTCTTAAACCTGAACGGACTTCTGTGAGGGAAGACCTGACTTTTACCAGTCCTTGTTTAGACTGATGCTCCCTTCATTTCGGACATTCCACTTCAGACCAGTAGCAGCTGTCCCGTTGTTTGTTGTCGGCTGTGGACTGGATCCAGCAACTGTTGCTTGTAGGTTGGTTACGGATGCTGCAGGTCTGTGGCCCTGCGCTTGGGAACGTCTCTCTTCGCGGCGTGCTGGCAGCTGAATTGTGTTAGGATATTGCTGAAGTTCTCCCCAGCTTACCTTCATGAAGCTTCTGTTCTCGTGGTTTGCACAAGCAGATGTTGCTGCTCTCGGGAGCAGTGACCCACATCCCACGGGGGGGCTTGTTGAGGTCGTG